TAGTGTTTGTTGGGGCAGAAAGTTGGAAAATAAATTCACTTTTTGTGGTTTTTCATGCTAACTGGCTAGAAACATCTGTTTTCTGGGGCACTGTCAAACATGTAATTCCACCCTTGTCTTTACAAATTTACATTCTTCTTTAGTAAGACGTTTGGTTTCACATTTGCAGTTTTTCCTTCTTTTTTTCTTAAAAGGAATCCCGACTATTATGTCAAGTTACTCTAAATATGTTACAAATTCTCTCCACTACATAAACATTGTTGAAAATAACTAAAATGTTTTCGTTATTCATTAAATCTTTGTTGTTTAAAACTATTTTGAAGCCTTGGGAGCGGCCATGTTTTTGTTCACGCAATGCATTCTGGGACGATGATGTATATTGGTTGTGGGCAGGCGCTTTCGTTCAGCTAACCTGCTGTTGCAGGAGAGGAACTACTATGCCGCATTGTGCAGCTTTCGGTTGTAATTTCCAGTCGAAGGGCAACAAAGGAACAGATGTAAGTCTGCACAGCTTTCCTCATGAGAAAACAAGAAGAAAGCAGTGGGAAGATGCTTGCGGTCGAGTACAACTCCCCAAAGACCCGCGGCTGTGCTCTAGCCATTTTAGCCCAGATGCGTTTGAGGCATTTAGCCGACCGCGGTTGATAAAAGAGCTCACAGGTGCTTCTGGTTATAAGCGAAGACTAAAATCAAATGCAGTCCCGGCAATTTTTCGCTATGAGGAGACCACGGGTCCGGGAAAAGCGAGTGAAAACCGCGCTAAGAAACGCATAAGACCAGAGATGCTAAACAGTTTCCGGGAAGGTTGTAAACAACAACCCGCTTCTACAGTAGCCAACATGTTCGTGGATGATGATGACCAATCAGACACCGTGTCAGTTATGGAGGAGACAAGCAATGAAGCAGCTGAAGCTACTAAAGTATCCGTGAGTGTTCAGTGTTCTTCAAGTGAAACTGATGCATCAACCCAGACTGAGAGAAGTCCGATGTAGCAGTACAATTTTTTCCTTTATTGTCAAAAAATAACAATACAGCGCTTATTTTACATGTCAACAAAAAGTTATATACAGTTATAAGTGGTTAAGAACAAAGCAGTCGTCAAAAAAGGAACATTTAAAGAATATTATAGGTCAGAAATACCATAAAGCAGCATAAAAGTACATATAAAAGTAAAAACAAAAGTACGCACATGCAATCTGGCTACATCAATTGAAAAGCTGCATCTAAAATTCAAGTAAGGTGTGAGCTTTAAGTTACACTTGTCTAATGAAGCCTTCCACGGCAGGACTTCATTTTTAAAGCCAACAAAAATCAGAGTAATTTTCAAGAAGCGACATTTGTGAATGAAAAATTTTGCTACTATAAATAAGTTTTGGGTTTTTTTTTTTTCGGTTTGTAATCCAAATCTAATTACTTGAAAGGTTAGAGAAGGGCAGTCAATGTTTTTAGAGGTTAACCAGTACAGAAAACCATCCCAAAAAGATCTGGAACTTTCACATGAATAAAAAAGATGCAGTAGTTTCAATGTCAGTATTACAGAAAGTGCATGCGTTCGTATCTATATTTAGTCATTGGACAGATATATGGCATCTACAATTTTAAAGTGATTTTCTTTTGCTTTAGGTGGACTTGAAAAAGAAAGATTTAGTCAAAAACGTCGAATAATAGTCTCTAACCATTTTTTCTTTTTAGTTGTGAAGGGAAAAATTGTCCTTAAAAATTTATTATCGCATGCCTTTCCTTTAAATTGGTGTTTAAGAATAATAATACTGTGATCTGTCAACGGGGCTGCTGAGATAGAAACATGTGAAACATATCTATATAGTAAAGTCGAGCCCAACCACAGATCTAGACATAAACATTTACTAGAATCACAAATGAACCATCAATATTCAATACAACTACCAGCCAGTGTCCTGAATCATCAGCCTGAAAAGTCACGACCTTCCCTGGACATTGGTAGAAACAGAGCTACTCCAGCAGAGTGGTTGGATCAGTGGCTGAAGAGGATTTTTCACTCCACTCATTTGACCAGAAGGTGGCATCAGCGTCACTTGAATGAGTTTCTTGTAGTAAGGTGCAATTAGCTTTCAGCCCTTTGATAAACATAAACATTGCTTTTCTGTTAACGTTATCCCTGAGACCTTTAACATTCAACGACACAAAGGATAAACATGTGCGTAGCATTAAAAATAAACAAAAATAGAGTTCAAAATATTAAGAATATCAAACTTGAATAGAAAAAAGAGAAAAAGTTAGTTTACTTTCCTGTTTAGAAAAAGGTGAAAGAACAGCGGTGCTGGCACCTCCCATCACATTCAAAACTATCAAACGTCCCTCTTTATGTAGAGTTCAGAGAACAAGTAAGAGTGAACACTTTTCAACCATCCGCCAGAACGCGATGGCCATTAATATAACCGACAGCTCCTCTGTAGTAAGCTTTCCCCCCCGCATTTCTGGCTTGTAAACTTTTCAGCCAATTTTTCTCCCTCTCCACACGATCCTCCTTCGTCAGGTCCTCGGCAAAATGGAATTTTTCACTCTCACAAATCTGAGCATTTTTGGACTTTTTCCATATTCCGTCTCGGTGTAGGCGCTTTGTGAACTGAATCATGACTTGGTGATTTCTGCCCTCTTCCTTTCTTCCAATGCGATGCACAGTGTCCATATTATCTGACCATTCTGGGGCAATCTTGGTGAGAATTTTGATCACCTCTTTTCTGATATCTT